GTGGGCCTCCTGAGGCCTCCTGGGGCCTCCTGGTGACCTCCTGGGGCTTCCTCCTGGGCCTCCTGTGGCCTCCTGGATCCCACCTGGGGCTTCCTGAAGCCTCTTGGGGGGGGGGAACACAAAAGCAGAAAAAAATCAACGAATCGACCGGATGTGTATTAACTTGACACGTTCTGATAGGGGGCCTCCTGGGGCCTCCTGGGAGCCTCCTGGGAATCTCCTGCGGATCCCTGGGGCCTGTCCTGGGCGTCCTGCGGCTTCCTGAAGCTCTCTGGAGCCTCCTGGGGCTCCCATGGGGGATATGTAACATGTGGTCGTCTGGGCCCTCAGGCTGGACCACCTCTTGCGCGGCATCTGGGAGCTAAGAGTTGCGAGAATGTCTTGTGCGAAACGGGCCGGACCAACTTGCGCACGGCATCTCAGAGCTCAGAGTTGCAAGGATGTCTCCAGCGTGACGGGCCGGTGTCTCGGGCGAAACGTGCTGCGAGGAAGTCTCAGGCGAAACGGGCCGGACCACCTCGAGCGCGGCGTCTCAGAGCTCCGAGTTGCGGGGGCCTCCTGGTGCATCCTGGGGCCTCCTGGGGACCTCCTGGGGCTTCCTCTTGGGCCTCCTGTGGCCTCCTGAACTCCACCTGGGGTTTCTTGAAGCCTCTTGAGGCTCCCAGGGGGGATATCTAACCTGTGGCCGTTTGGGCCTCTCAAAATGGAGGGGGGGGCACAAGAGCAGGAAATATCAACGAATCGACACCGGATATGTATTAACTTGACACGTTCTGATAGGGGGCCTCCTGGGGTCTCCTGGGAGCCTCCTGGGAATCTCCTGGGGACCCCTGGGGCCTGTCCTGGGCGTCCTGCGGCCTCCTGGAGCTCTCTGGGGCCTCCTGGAGCTCCCAGGGGCCCAGGGAGGATATGTAACATGTGGTCTTCTGGGCCCCCAGGCTGGACCACCTCTTGCGCGGCATCTGGGAGCTCAGAGTTGCGAGAATGTCTTGTGCGAAACATGCCGGACCACCTTGCGCACGGCATCTCAGAGCTCAGATTTGCGAGGATGTCCAGGCGAAACGGGCTGCGGACCCCTCGCGCAGGGCATCTCAGAGCTTAAAGTTACGAGGATGTTCAGGCGGCTCCAGGGGCCAAGGGAGGATATGTAAATGTGGGTCTTAGGGCCCCCAGGCTGAACCACCTCTTGCTCGGCCATCCGGGAGGCCAGAGTTGCGAGAAGTCTTGGCGAACAGGCAGGACCACTGCGCACGGATCTCAGAGTCAGAATGAGAAGATGGTCGCAGTCGAGACGGGCCGGGACCACCTCGCGCAGGGCACTCTTAGCTTAGAAAGTTCGGACGATCGTCTCAGGCGAACCTGGCCAGACCGGCTGGACCACTCTTGCGCGGCATCTCGAGGTCAGAGTTTCGAGGATGTCTCAGGCGAAACGGGCCGGACCACCTCGCGCAGGGCATCTCAGAGCTCAGAGTTGCGAGGATGTCTCAGGCGAAACGGCCCGGACCACCTCTCGCACGGCACCTCGGGGCTTAGAGTTTCAAGGATGTCTCAAGCGAAACGGCCCGGACCACCTCTCGCGCGGCGTCCCCGAGCGCAACGTTTCGAGGATGTCTCAAGCGAAACGGCCAATCCCGGCCAACTCAGAAACGAGAGTTGTGAGGATGTCTCAAGCAAAACGGCCCGGACCATCAAATTTTTGTGAGGATGTGTCTGCTCCGACTTCCCTCGGCCGGAGTTAGCTTCTATCACAAAAGCACCCCGTTCAGCAAGCTGTTTGGGGGAATTACTCCGATGGTAGGACCCCGCATGAGAATCTGTTTAGTTTACCCTTTGCCCTTTCCTCTTCCTCCTGGGGCTCCCGCCTGAGACTTCCTCACAATTCACTCACAGACGAGGCTCCCGCTCGAGACTTCCTCCATATTCATATCTCAAGAGCCCAAAAGTGACGACAGTTGCACGTGGCGGATGACCCGCTCGGATTCAAACATGAAGTGCGGGCCCCATAGGGAGGGGGCTCCCGCCTGAGACTTCCTCGCAATTCACTCAAAGACGAGGCTCCCGCTCGAGACTTTCTCCATATTCGAGTCTCAAGAGCCCAAAAGTGACGACAGTTGCACGTGGCGGATGACCCGCTCGGATTCAAACATGAAGTGCGGGCCCCATAGGGAGGGGGCTCCCGCCTGAGGGACTCTCACAATTCATCATAACGAGGCTCCCGCGGATACTCCTCAATTCAGGCTAAGAGCCCAAAAGTGACGACAGTTACACGTTGCGGATGACCCGCTCGGATTCAAACATGAAGTGCGGGCCCCATAAGGAGGGGGTTCCCGCCTGAGACTTCCTCACAATTCACTCACAGACGAGGCTCCCGCTCGAGACTTCCTCCATATTCAACTCTCAAGAGCCCGAAAGTGACGACAGGTGCACGTTGCGGATGACCCGTTCGGATTCAAACATGAAGCGCGGGCCCCATAGGGAGGGGGCTCCCGCCTGAGACTTCCTCGCAATTCACTCACAGACGAGGCTCCCGCTCGAGACTTCCTCCATTTTCAGGCCTGGGGAGCCCAAAAGTGACGACAGTTACAGGGTTCCGATGACCCGCTCGGATTACCAACATGATCTGCGGGCCCCATAGGGAGGGGCTCCCGCCTGAGACTTCCTCGCAATTCACTCACAGACGACGCTCCCGCTTGATACTTCCTCCATATTCACGCCCCAGGAGCCCAAAAGTAACGACAGTTCGCACGTGCGGCATGAACCGCGAGTTCGGCATGAAGTTGCGGGCCCATAGGGAGGGGGCTCCGTCTGAGACTTCCTCGCAATTCACTCACAGACGAGGGTCCCGCTCGAGACTTCTTCCATATTCAGGTATGAAGAGCTCAAACGTGACGACAGTTGCACGTCGCGGATGACCCGCTCGGATTCGAACATGAACTGCGGGCCCCATAGGGAGAGGGCTCCCGCCTAAGACTTCTTCACAATTCACTCACAGACGAGGCTCCCGCTCGAGACTACCTCCATATTCAGGTCTCAAGAGCCCAAACGTGACGACAGTTGCACGTTGCGGATGACCCGCTCGGATTCGAACATGAAGTGCGGGCCCCATAGGGAGGGGGCTCCCGCCTGAGACTTCCTCGCAATTCACTCACAGACGAGGCTCCCGCTCGAGACTTCCTCCATATTCAGGTCTTAAGAGTCCAAAAGTGACGACAGTTGCACGTTGCGGATGACGCCGGATTAAACATGAAGTTGCGGGAACCATAGAGATGAGGCTCCCGCTTGAGCATTCCTCACAATTCACTCCACAGACGATGGCGCACCGCTCGAGACTTCCTCCATATTCAAGCCTCAAGAGTCCAAAAGTGACGACAGTTGCACGTTGCGGATGACCCGCTCGGATTCGAACATGAAGTGCGGGCTCCATAGGGAGGGGGCTCCCGCCTGAGACTTCCTCGCAATTCACTCACAGACGAGGCTCCCGCTCGAGACTTCCTCCATATTCAGGTCTCAAGAGCCCAGAAGTGACGACAGTTGCACGTTGCGGACGACCCGCTCGGATTCTAACATGAAGTGCGGGCCCCATAGGGAGGGGGCTCCCGCCTGAGACTTCCTCACAATTCACTCACAGACGAGGCTACCGCTCGAGACTTCCTCCATATTCATATCTCAAGAGCCCAAAAATGACGACAGTTGCACGTGCGGATGACCCGCTCGGATTCAAACATGAAGTGCGGGCCCCATAGGGAGGGGGCTCCCGCCCGAGACTTCCTCGCAAATCACTCACAGACGAGGTTCCCGCTCGAGACTTCCTCCATGTTCAGGCCTCAAGTCAGCGAGTAGTGACGATGATGACGATGATGATGATGATGATGATGATCGTTCGATGCCGATGATGGTGAGTGATCGCGGGATGGTGATGGTGATGCTGATGGTGATGATGATGATGATGAGTGGGGAGTGATGGTGATGGTGATGATGATGCGGAGGAGGAAGCAAAGAGGAGCAGAGGAGAGGGAGGAAAAGGAGATCCTTCGCGGAGGGTGTGCAGAGAAAACAAGAACCCCACTTAGGATGTGGGAAAACAAATCTTCGTGCAGTAGACGTGTAAAACAAAACTGTGTCATGCTACCTCGTTTATTTTGTTGTTCATTTTTTCTTTATTCATATACACATATATATATAAAAATATAAAAATAAACTTCCATAACATGTAAGGCGTGTCTCAGGATGCCGTTGCGCGCTTCGATAGCAGTGGCATGCAGGCCTCTGGCACGGATGCAAAGCTATGCGCCTTTAGCCTTCAGGATGGATTTGGCGGCATCATTGTTTAGGGCGCCTTCTCCGTCGGAGTGCAGCGCCGTGGCTCGGCCGCGCTGCATCCTGCAGTTGTGATAGGCGCCCAATGCCGCTTGCATCGTCCTGACGGCAATATCCTCGCCTGCAGCCCAACGAATGCATCGGTCGATGATGAAACGCGATGCGTTGTTTGTAGAACATCAAGTCACACCCGACTTCCACGTTGAACTTGCCAGGGAGACTAATCGAACGCACGGTTTCTCCCAGGCTCTGCATTCACGACGCGAATCTACTACTCCATGCATCATGTTCAATCGTGCACCATCTATTCCTACACGCGACAGAATCGCACGCATCTTTGGTTTAGAAGCGTGGTACCAGCGTAAGTGGAGTTTTCTAAAAGGAGTCCCCGTTGCTCTTTTAGCAAAGAGGTGGGATCGTAGCACCGTAGATGTTGGAGACTTGTCTGAATGTCAAGTCTTGACCAGTCAGGTATTCTTGAACGCAGCCGCGCTTCCGCTGGAGGCGGGGAAAAAGGCGGCGCCGCGCCGCTCCGTTCTCGCCCACGACGTCCCGCGACCCGCGGGGGTTCAGAAGTGCCGCCACCCCCAGAGCCACTCTATGCGCCTCTTGTCATGTCGTAGCCATTAGCGCCCACAGTTGGGCCCTGTGGATTTCTACACGAGGGGAGAGGTGCACGTGGCCGTGCTTCTCCCCGTGATCTCTGTCGCGCTGGTGGTAGCTCTGCTGGTGCAGGTACCTTGTCGAAGAGGTCGCCTGGTGCCGCTGCTGGCGCAGCAGCAACAAGTGCAGGTGCCCCTTCCACCGGTGCTGGCGCGGCCGGTGGGGCCTGTCCGCGGTTGTCTGGCAGTTGCCACGGTTGGGCAAACCTACGCTTGCCTGACGCCAGCAGGTGACCCCGCTTGTCTTTGCCATCGTCCTTTTTGCAATTTGGGCATACTCAATGATGGGGTTCCTTGTCATACCACTGGCATTGGCGCGGATATCGGTTGCGACTTGCTGAGTTCACTTGAACGTTGTGTATACAAGCTGGGAGTCCAGGTCCACCCGATGGCGGTCGTTTGATGGATCCGTTCTCTTCCCGTGGTATCGCAGGATCATCAAGGTCGAATCCAACACTGTTGACGACGAAGGTGTTTGCGCAATGCCTGTCGGCGCAAGGAGTGCTGCCTTGCGCGCGAAGGGAATTTGCAATCTGGACTGCGTCTACGAGCAGCGATTGCATCTTAGGCGTGCACTGGGCCGCCTGCGCCAGTTCTCGGTTGCACGCTTGGGCATCTTCACGATCGCCAGAACATCTTCTGTGTTCAAACGGTTTAAGAATTGCTTGCTGATTGGCCATGATTTCATTCGGTTTCTTGATGAGAGTGCCATATGAATCACGTTGCCCTGTCGAGCGCTTGTCCACCACCTGCGTGCAGGTGGCCTTGTGTTTGACTGGTGTCGTCCCAGGGACAATCTCATCTACCGAAGTGCCAACTGGTTGTTCCCTACGGAGCATGCGTCGGGGGTTATCTTGCATGACGGCTACCTTCCCGCAGAAGGTGACGCGGGGAAGGTCCTCCCTGCGGTTCTTGTGCCAAGTATCGCGGTTGACTGTGGAGTTAAAGTACGATGGCAAGCCTGCGGTTATGCAGTTGGGTTGCTCTATAACTAATTGTGACAAAGCGCGCGTTCAGATAGTGTTACACAGCTTGTTGAACTCGCGGGTTACCCGGCTGAACATTGGCACGCCTTTCTGGGCTACCTCCAGAAGTGAGCTTCCTTGTGAAATCAAATTGACATATGCCGCCAGCGGCTCCACGCAGTTCTAACATGTTACACAACTGTTCCTTCCATAGCAGCAGGCGGGAACAATGGTAAATATTTCGGCGCGCGCGTCCGCAATGCCGAATGATAATGTTAAGAAGAGGCTGTCGTCGTCATCCGGCTCCAGCTCTTCTGTTAGAATGTCAGAGAGCAATGTGGCATCTCCTAAGCCTTTGAGGTCGTCGCCACAGTCATCGTTGCAATCTTCAACATGTGGTGATAGATTTTTCGGCTCGATGCCGGCATTCTTGTCAGTTTGTTCCCCACATCCTAAGTGGGGTTCTTGTTTTCTCTGCACACCCTCCGCGCAGGATCTCTCCTCCTCCTCCTCCCTCTCCTCTGCTCCTCTTTGCTTCCTCCTCCGCATCATCATCACCATCACCATCACTCCCCATTCATCATCATCATCATCACCATCAGCATCACCATCACCATCGCACGATCACTCACCATCATCGGCATCGAACGATCATCATCATCATCACCATCATCATCACTACTCGCTGACTTGAGGCCTGAATATGGAGGAAGTATCGGGCGGGAGCCTCGTCTGTGAGTGAATTGTGAGGAAGTCTCAGGCGGGAGCCCCCTCCCTATGGGGCCCGCACTTCATGTTCGAATCCGAGCGGGTCATCCGCAACGTGCAAACTGGTCGTCACTTTGGGTTTGAGACCTGAAATGGGAGAAATCTCGAGCGGGAGCTGTCTGTGAGTGAATTGTGAGGAAGTCTCAGGCGGGAGCCCCCTCTCTATGGGGCCCGCACTTCATGTTCGAATCCGAGCGGGTCATCCGCAACGTGTAATTGTCGTCACTTTTGGGCTCTTGAAGCCTGAATATGGAGGAAGTATCAGGCGGGAGCCTCGTCTGTGAGTGAATTGTGAGGAAGTCTCAGGCGGGAGCCCCCTCCCTATGGGGCCCGCACTTCATGTTCGAATCCGAGCGGGCATCACGAACTTGTAACTGTCGTTCATTTTGGGCTCTTCAGATTTTGATCTGAATAGGTAAGAAGAAAGGTCTCCGCGGGCGGGGGAGCCTCTCGTATGTACCATCTCGTTGCGAAGGTACACCAGATTCCCATGAGGAGGAACATCCCGCGTTTTTACTAATGGGGCCCGCACTTCATGTTCGAATCCGAGCGGGTCATCCGCAACGTGTAACTGTCGTCACATTTCGGCTCTTGAGGCTCGAATATGGAGGAAGTATCAGGCGGGAGCCTCGTCTGTGAATGAATTGTGAGGAAGTCTCAGGCGGGAGCCCCCTCCCTATGGGGCCCGCGCTTCATGTTCGAATCCGAGCGGGTCATCCGCAACGTGCAACTGTCGTCACTTTGGGCTCTTGAGACCTGAATATGGAGGAAATATCAGGCGGGGGCCTCGTCTGTGAGTGAATTGCGAGGAAGTCTCAATCGGGAGCCCCCTCCCTATGGGGCCCGCGCTTCATGTTCGAATCCGAGCGGGTCATCCGCAACGTGTAACTGTCGTCACTTTTGGGCTCTTAAGGCCTGAATATGGAGGAAGTATCAGGCGGGAACCTCGTCTGTGAGTGAATTGTGAAGACGTCTCAGACGGGAGCCCCCTATGGGGCCCGCGCTTCATGTTCGAATCCGAGCGGGTCATCCGCAACGTGCAACTGTCGTCACTTTTCGGCTCTTGAGACCTGAATATGGAGGAAGTCTCGAGCGGGGGCCTCGTCTGTGAGTGAATTGCGAGGAAGTCTCAGGCGGGAGCCCCGTCCCTATGGGGCCCGCATTTCATGTTCGAATCCGAGCGGGTCATCCGCAACGTGCAACTGTCGTCACTTTTGGGCTCTTGAGACCTGAGTATGGAGAAGTCTCGAGCGGGAGCCTACGGCCCAGCCCGAAGGTTTGTCCCGACGGCTTCGCGATCTAGCCGTCGGCAAACGCGCGCGCGCTGGCCGAGGCGGCGACGGCGCTGGGGAAAATGAATTTTCTTGCCCCGGCGAGGGGGAAGGGGAGGTGCACGTGGAGAAGAAGCAGGGGGATGAGGGGGGAAGGGGCATGGGGGAGGCCGACGACGAGGAGGCGGTGGCGCGAGAGGAGGAGGAGGAGGAGGAGGAGGAGGAGTGAGGAGGATGGTAGGAGGAGGAGGAAGGAGGGAAAAAGGAGGAGGAGGAAGAGAAATAGGAGGAATAGAGGGCAGTGCAGAGGGCAAAAGGAGAGGGTGTCCGCCAGGGGGAGGAGGAAAGGGCAAAGGGTAAGCTAAACATATTCCCATGTGGGGTCCTACCGTCGGAGTAATTGTAGTAGTAGAAGTAGTACAATGAAAATAGTAGTAGTAGTAGTAGTAGTAGTAGTAGTAGTAGTAGTAGTAGTAGTAGTAGTAGTAGTAGTAGTAGTAGTAGTAGTCGTAGTAGTACTTACTCCGGCGGTAGGACCCCGCATGCGAATCTGTTTAGCTTACCTTTTGCCCGTTCCTCCTCCCCCTGGCGGACACCCTCTCCTCTCGCCCCCTGCACTGCCCTCTCTTCCCCCTTCTATTTCTCTTCCTCCTCCTCCTCCTCCTCCTCCTCCTCCTCCTCCTCCTCCTCCTCCTCCTCTCGCGCCACCTCCTCCTCGTCGTCGGCCTCCCCCATGCCCCTTCCCTCCTCATCCCCCTGCCTTTTTTCCATGTGCACCTCCCCTTCCCCCTCGTCGGGGCAAGCAAATCCATTTTCCTCAGCGCCGCCGCCGCCTCGGCCAGCGCGCGCGCGTCTGCCGACGGCTAGATCGCGAAGCCGTCGGGGCAAACCTTCGGGCTGGGCCGTAGGCTCCCGCTCGAGACTTCCTCCATATTCAGGTCTCAAGAGCCCAAAAGTGACGACAGTTGCACGTTGCGGATGACCCGCTCGGATTCGAACATGAAGATCGGGCCGCATAGGGAGGGGGCTCCCGCCTGAGACTTCCTCACAATTCACTCACAGACGAGGCTCCCGCCCGAGACTTCCTCCACATTCAGGCCTCAAGAGCCCAAAAGTTACGACAGTTACACGTTGCGGATGACCCGCTCGGATTCGAACATGAAGCGCGGGCCCCATAGGGAAGAGTCTCCCGCCTGAGACTTCCTCGCAATCCACTCACAGACGAGGCCCCCGCCTGATACTTCACCCATATTCAGGTTTCAAGAGCCCAAAAGTGACGACAATTACACGTTGCGGATGACCCGCTCGGATTCGAACATGAAGTGCGGGCAACATAGGGAGGGGGCTCCCGCCTGAGACTTCCTCGCAATTCACTCACAAACGAGGCTCCCGCCCGAGACTTCCTCCATATTCAAGTCTCAAGAGCCCAAAAGTGATGACAGTTGCACGTTGCGGATGACCCGCTCGGATTCGAACATGAAGCGCGGGCCCCATAGGGAGGGGGCTCCCGCCTGAGACTTCCTCACAATTCACTCACAGACGAAGCTCCCGCCTAATACTTCCTCCATATTCAGGCCTCAAGAGCCCAAAAGTGACGACAGTTGCACGTTGCGGATGACCCGCTCGGATTCGAACATGAAGCGCGGGCCCCATAGGGAGGGGGCTCCCGCCTGAGACTTCCTCACAATTCACTCACAGACGAGGCTCCCGCCTGATACTTCCTCCACATTCAGGCCTTGAGAGCCCAAACGTTACGACAGTTACACGTTGCGGATGACCCGCTCGGATTCGAACATGAAGTGCGGGCCACATAGGGAGGGGGCTCCCGCCTGAGACTTCCCCGCAATTCACTCACAAACGAGGCTCCCGCCCGAGACTTCCTCCACATTCAGGCCACAAGAGCCCAAAAGTGACGACAGTTACACGTTGCGGATGGCCCGCTCGGATTCGAACATGAAGTGCGGGCCCCATAGGGAGGGGGCTCCCGCCTGAGACTTCCTCACAATTCACTCACAGACGAGGCTCCCGCTCGAAAACTCTTCCATATTCAAATCTCAAGAGCCCAAAAGTGACGACAGTTGCACGTTGCG